AACTCTAGCATATTTAATGATAAAACTTTTACTGTAAATAATAATAATAATAATTATTATTTAATCAAATTATAAAAATTAAACAAATGAATAAAGAAATATCATTACAATACTATTAAACTCTAACATATTTAATAATAATTTTTTAATGTAAATAATAATAGTAATTATTATTATAAAATTAGAAAAATTAAAAATTATATTATAATTAATTATATTATAAAAATTAAGAATGATAAAAATTAAACAAATCAATAAAGAAATATCACTATGATACTAGTAAACCATAAATAATTTAATAACACTGAAGGATCTGAGGATCCTCAAATGCAAACTGTGTTTTGCTTCAAGAGAGCAATCATACATTTGTGTTTCTTTTGTAGTCTCCTATTCTCCGTTTATTCATTCATGCATAATCATTTTTCATTTAGTCATTGTATTATTCCATTTAATCATATAATCATTTATAATAATAATTATAGCCATTTATATACTAATTTCATTGATTCATTAATTGATTAGTGATTTATATTATTATTGTTTTTTATATTATTTTTCCATTGTTGTTTATTCATATGACTGTGTGTTTAAGGGCTGTGTGTCTTCATGAGTAAGAGGTGAATACGAGGGAATGGTTATGGGAACTCAAGGTTTATGGGATGTTTGTTTTAACACTACATGTTAAATGAAGTCAAAACACAACTGAGATTTTTCAGTAAACTCTTTGCTCAGTCGACTTCTTGGCTGATAGCAGATGGTTAATACAGGTTTGGAGACCAGTCGAGATGTCCTGTTAACAGGTTTTGGTGACTAGTTGTTGTGTTATGTTGCGCTGCAGAAGTCAGGAGTGTTTCTCGTGTGTTAGCGTGACGCTCTGTAATCTCTTCAGGTCAGATGGCGGTGCATTACTCGCTGAAAGAGCTTGTTAAAGTGTTTTCCAGCTCAGATAATATATCAGCTGTAATGAAGGCCTCACCACCCGAGTTGGCAGTAATTGCCGGGTTGCATTCTCGCAGTTCTTGAACTTTGAGGAGCGACGTGGAGCTCGTGCAGCGGCACAGAACGACGGCACAGGATGCCGGCGAGATCCCTGACATCCTTTACTCACTCATGATGATCTGAAACACCAGAGTTTGATGAATGCATGACCTGATGATGATGATGATGATGATGATGTGTGTATGCAGAGCAATGCTTTGGATTAAAGCATCTGCTGAATGCAGAAATGAAAACAGGGATGCATGACTTGGGGGAAATGTAAAAAAAATAAAAAAAATTGAATTGCAATTTAAAATATGATTTAAAAAAGATTATTATTATTTTTTTTTTTTAAGGTCCAGGTTTGTTGGTCTTGTTTGTATGGCTACACAATATGCAAATACTATTATTATTATTATTACTGTTGTTTTTCTTAAGTACAATTTTTTTTATTTTACGGTAAAATATTACAATAGTAATATTTATTTTGTTTAATATGTTTATTTAGTAGTAGTAATACTACTATTACTACTAACAACAACAGTATATAAAAACAATAACTATATTAGCAGTAATATAATAATAATTATAAATATTATTGTTATTATATTAGATTATTATTAATATCAATATTATTACTGTTACTCAATAAAAATAATAATCAAAGAAATATCACTAATATTATTAAACTGTATTTAATAATAATTTTAATGTTTATAACAATACTATTATTAATAATATAGTATAATATAACAACAACAATAATACAAATAATATAATAATAATTATAAATATTCTTCTTATTATATTAGATTATTAATATTATTATTAGTTCTCAGTAAAAAAATATTAAACAAAATAATAATTATATTTATTATAATAATTCACTGTAAAATAAATAAAAAGTACTTAAGAAAAACAACTGTAAAAGTATAATACTAATATTTATAGCTTATTTTTTTTAAAGTTAAATCAAGCTTTTAGTTTGGCAGAAAAACGTATGGAGTGTTTACAGCATCTGGTTTATAATCACTCATAAACTAGTGAGTATACTCATAATCTATGAGACACTGAAACACTGACTCATGAGCTGCGTGTGTAAATGAACACAGTGCCGGGAAAACTGAAAACTGCAATAAGCCAAAGCACAGTTTTGGTTTTATTATGATTGATCATGCAGCCCTAGTTTGGAATGACTATCAGAAGTTTGTTTTAGAAATTCATCAGTTTATGCACCAAAGTTGCATCGATGATTGATCATGTGACTGTTTGTGTCTGAATGCTGTTACTGTTGTCAGTCCACAGTCCTCCGGTGAGCAGCAGCCCTGAGCGTCCGACTGCATCTGTGACGCCGCTGCGACCGCAGGCCAGTCCGTCTCGCTCCCCCGCGAGGCCCCTGTCCATGACAGCGGCCCCTCAGCCTCACGCTGCCTCTGTACGGCCCCTGAGGCCCCTGAGCTCCATCACGCCTCCCAACGCCAGCGCTGCGCACCTGAACGCAGCAGACCTGCACAAACTCCAGGACAAGAAGCTGGAGAAGGTCAGTGCTGAAACCATTACAGACATGTCTGTTCATGGAAATAACGGGGAAATAAAATAAAATACAAATATTAGATGAAAAACTTAAATAAATTACACATTTTAAATTTCACATTTAAAAAATTAGACACGTTACTATGGCACGTTGAAGCAGTAAAATTACTAGCTGGAAATAAATAAATGACTAAAAGTGAATTTAAAAAAATTTGACCTAAATAGTAAAATAAATAAAAAAATTATAATGAATTTTTTTTTAATAAAAATAAATAAAATTACAACTAAAAAAATAAAAGCTAATTCTAAATATTTATTAAAAAAATTATAATAATATATAAATAATAATTAAATAAAATAATAATAGTAATATAGTAAAATAACACTGGAATGTTATCACAAAGGACAATGAATAAATAATAAAACACTAAATTAACTTCTGTCATAATTGACATTAAATGTGCCACATTTGCTTTTTTACTTATTTATTTCTAGCTCCAAGCTTGCTGTACTTGTTTGAAGGTCTGCACAATTTGGCCAAAATTCTTGTGATTATGTATCAATTTGGCTAAAACTATCAATACAAATAGAATTATTATTATTGTATAATTTCACTCTGAAAAATGCAGCGTATGTATGTCACGTTGCACACCCACACGAGGGACGAGTAGACGCTGGAGAATATGTTGACAAGACTTTATTTACAGGAACCAA